TCCTGCTGCAAAAGCCATTCCCAGCCAGCCCAACCCTCCTGCCCCGTCTCTCCTCTCCCCCCAGATCCAGCATCTCATCCAGGACCTCTCTGACATCTGGGCAGAGGTGAAAAAGAAGGAGGTCCAGAACCGATCCATGGCAGCCGTGCCCAAGGACGTGTAAGGGCCACACCAGCTCCCCCGGTCCTGCCTGGGGGAGGCTCAGCCAGCTGAGACAGGAAAGGGACGGAGCCCCCAGGGATGCTGCAGACGGCGCCAGCGCTCTCCATCGATCTCATCCAGGACCTCTCTGACATCTGGGCAGAGGTGAAAAAGAAGGAGGTCCAGAACCGATCCATGGCAGCCGTGCCCAAGGACGTGTAAGGGCCACACCAGCTCCCCCGGTCCTGCCTGGGGGAGGCTCAGCCAGCTGAGACAGGAAAGGGACGGAGCCCCCAGGGATGCTGCAGACGGCGCCAGCGCTCTCCATCGTCCTGTGCAAAGAGCCCGTCCACGATATCAGACAAAGCATTTTCACGGCGTTTGCTCCTCGGTTACACACAAACCAGTCCAGAGCAGAGTCCGGGCATTGCCGTCCGAAATAGAGATTTGGATCCACCAAAGTATTTCACAAACTCTTCCTGAAACTCCAGACGGCTCCTTCCAACAGTCTCAGCGTGTCATTTACCGGGGCTGCAAGCGAGTGTGGACCAGGCTTAGCGGTTAATCTAGGCGCCTACAGGGCGTCCCCGCTATAAGTCGCCCCAGTACCTATCGGTTCCTCGCTGGCGTCGTTGCTGCCGGTAGGAACCGATCCATTATAAGTCCTCTCATTCCCCACTCTTACGTGGCACAACCCCCCACCGCTGCACCGCCTGTCCTGGTGACCGATGCGGCCGGATGGCTTTGGATGGGGGGGAGCAGGAGAGGAATCTTTCCCGTTGCTACAGCCCCCTCCTCCCCAGGGTCCCATGTGCAGGGACTGCGGCGTTCACCACCCCTGGGAGAGGAGGCGGCAGTTCGGCCCTGTCTCCGCTGGCACGGATGCCACGGGCCTGGGGCGCCCCATTGTAGGGCGCTGCGCGGGGCTGCCGGACTGAACGGGGGCGGCGCCACGCTCCCAGGGCCCGGGGCGCATGAATGGCTCAGGCCAGCCCTGACTGGGCAGCAAGGAAACGCTCACTGCTAGGCCTGCTGACCAGCACCAGGGCTCAGGGCCTTGGTTTACATCCCCTCTCCCCGCTGATGGTTCCACCTGCTCGGGCTCGGGGGCAGCATCCAGAGGGGCACAAGGAAGAACCAGGAGCCAGCTGCAGCAGCTCGTCTCCCCCCAGCCAG